ATTTAATGTCAATTTTAACAATACTGAGGGCTCAAGGTAATATGATTAAACATTTATAAATTAAGAAAGGCCTTTTTACAACTTTCTGGAAACACTAATACTTGTTCACTACAGCCAGCCTAATGCAGGTCAGTCAGTGTTTACAGTAAGATGGAATAATGTTTAAATGAAGTCAACACCACACCATCATTTAAAAACATTTTTTTAATCAAGGTGCCTCAATGTAGTGTAACAAAGAACTCCTGGGCCCGTATTTATCAAACTTCTTACAGTGGAGTTTTAAACTGTCTGTTACATTATAGAAGGAAGCTTCACTGACGTGAAACATAAATCTGTGGATCTGTGTTTGATTACTCTGCCTGGCTTTCTCAAGGACCAGGATGTGACACAAAAATCTGAATTATGGAACTGAAAGTGAAAGTAGTCAAACTGAATTTTTAATAAACCAAAATACAGTTTCAAAGTAAATTAATTCAGATTCAGTTCCTGTTGGAACAAGATTCATCCCACAGATTTTGTGACATTTATTCAGACATTTTGAGTTGCGTTAACTTTCTTTGGTTTGTCGTCTGCAGAGTTTTCCACGTTGGGAAACGGACACTAAAATCAGCTGTGAGCAAACCCTGCAGAAGGGAGAGGGACCCAAGACGTCCTGGACCCGAGAGATCACGAGCGATGGCAAACTGATCCTGGTAAATCCACCTGAGAGTCACTGAGTTCAGAACCGCTGGAGATTATTAAAGATTAAAGTGGAGTTGTGTTGTTCGGCTTTCATGATCCAGTCGTAAAACTGAAACTACAGCAGGAGGGTTGAGGATGTATCACAGCGTCATCACAGGCAAACAACTTCTAAAATATATCTTTCCACCTGACACACAGAAAAGGGAAAACAGGGGGATTATGTCTGCCAGGAGGGTTGATTGGTGAATTAGAGCAGCTGAGGTGATTAGTAATGAATTTCAGGTGTGTGTGTGTCTGAGCCAACAGGAAGCTGAGATGAAAAAAACAACAACCTAAAACTGCTGGGATGGATGGGTGACAGGAAAACCAAAACACTAAAAACAGAAAACATTAAAATTCAGAACCAACAGAAACAAAATGAATCACGTTGAAACCAGACGTTTTAATGAAGCGACACAGAAACAGCAGCGGGTATTTATGGGCTGATGCTTGCTTTGAAGGTTGGCATTTAAAGACCCTGAAATCACAGCTTCTCTCCAGAGACCAGCAGGAGTTCAGGAGTGTGAGGCTGGTCTTTATTTTTGTGACTTTTAAGAGCTGTTTGTTCACAACAGCCTGATAAAGGAGACCTTAGTCTCTGTTTGTAGAGACCGAAGCTAAACAGGGGCGTCCTTAGGGTGGGCAATGGGCACCCCTTAAAAAATCACTGGCCCCTGCTTGGCCAGACTGTTTTTTTTTAGTCAAGTAGGGGTCTCTGCTGTACATAGGGGTAGATTATTTTTGTGGGCGGAGCTAAGAAAACAGGCGGATGATCTTGGGTGTGGGCGGAGTTTGACAAAACTGTTACTGGTTGGACTGACTTGTGGGGAAAGTTAAAAGATGAAGTAATGGTAATAGTCAGTGTTGTATAAAGTAGGGGTGTAAGAAAATATCACTACACTGAAATATCGCGATATTTCATTTCCCGATACTGTATCAATATTCTAAAGCCCTGTATCGATATTTTTTTAAGGTTTAAAATGTCAACTTTCCTGCCAGCCATTCATTTTTATGTTGTAGTTCAGCCTCTGACCACTAGTTGG